GGTACATGTAAGAATTTTTTTTCCCAAACCTCTGGTGATAGATTTTTTCCCCTGACACACAAAGCCAATTGTATGGCAGCTATTTCCTTGAAATCAGTCTGCAGGATAATTTTTTCTGAAATCATCGACTCCCTCAGAAGTCAAATGGTCGGCCCTTAAATTATTTTTTTCTGTTTGAATTTAAGCCTTTTCAAATTTCTTTTTTTCATTCCCCAAACTACTGGATATAATATATTAAAGTACCTTATTTGACATGGAAATTCACGCACACCTTAACACGACAGAAAAAATAAATTCTCTTCACTTAACAGAACCATGAAATACGTTAGTCATCAAGGCTGATATACAGTGAAAGCATTTTAATATTCTGATCTAATAGACCTTGTCACGGTTTTCGACGCCATATTTACGAGTAGGCAAACGCGTGAGAAATTACAGTGTTTGTATGAGAATCAAATGTCGAATAATTTCCGTAAAACGGCTCTTCTGAAAAATATGATTTGTAAACTAAAGCATCGCTTCTTACATGCACTATAAGACCTGAAACCACTTTTTTAAATTTTCTATACATTTGTCTGTAAGAAAGTCCCGGTAAAATTACAGAGAAATACATAGAAAATCTAAAGCAAGCCTCTAGAGAAATTTAAGCACAGGTATGCCCCCAAAATTGTTTAAGACAATCCTTTGCTTTCTAGCTTTAGTTTACAATTGATGTTTTTTTCAGAAGAGCCGTTTTGTGGAAACTATTTGACATTAGATTCTCATAGAAACACTGTAATTTCTCACACATTTCCTTGCTCGTCAAGATGGCGTCGAAAACCGTGACAAGGTCTATTTGAGCCCTGTAATCAGTGTTCCAGCCAGAAATTTCTGCTTGAGGGCCAAAATGGCCCCTACAACCCATTTTTGGGGGGCAGATATTTCAAGAAAGGGCCAGTGTACCAGTATCTTTCTAATATGCAAAAGAGAAGAAACAGTTGGAAAGTTAAGGAAATGAAAATGGCAGTTTATTTGAAGCTGACATGGAGCATCCCTCTTTATACACAATAGAGGAAATCTTCGGTAATAAAGCAAACAGTACAATCAGAATGTATGTAATAAAAATAGTAAGTAATTTTTTTCATCTCATTTTCCACTTCACCGTCAAGATCTGCTTCCTTTCGCTTCTTCTGAACTGCTTCGCCTCCATCCACTTTTTCGTTACTCACTGAGAAAAAACTTTCGATAGATCTCGAAAACGCGTTTGTCGGGTCAAGGACTTTTTCGAGACGCCATGATGGATACCCATCAGCTCCTGCGATATTACAAAAGCCAAGTCGAGGCTCAGTGGTCTCCAGACCACTCACGGTAAATCAGGTAAACTCAAGACGATTCATCGATTGATTTTTGTTGTGTACAAAGGTTGTGTAGCAGACTAAGAAAGGTACGGAGTCGTTGTTCTTTAGATGAAAAAATCTGTTTTATTGGAAAAGTATTGTAGTTGAAGTAACAGAGACATTTTTAAGCCCAGGGAATTAAAGAAGGAAAGGGCCATAATGGTCCTTGAACGCTTTTGGCGGGGCCATCTCTCGATCTTTTGCGGGATTCACGGAGTGGCGCACTCTGGCTGGAACACTGGTAATGGTTAAGGGAAAGATTTGAAAACAGCTTGAAAATTTCAAAATTTATAGCTTTTGAGACATACGGTTGAAAATTTACAGCTTACCTAATTTTAATACGATCTCTCAGTTCCTGCTAACATCATTTCCCAAAAGTGAACTGTTTTTGTGTTTACGGAAAGTTGATCATGTGACCAACTATTGCAAAAAGCCTATTACAATGTACCCAGTATTCCACTTTTGATACATTCATCATTGTTCTAATTGTTGAAGTTAATATCTGATGGATCATGAAAAACTGTTGACAAATAATTATTATAAGCCCAGGGAATTAAAAATATAGTATTACCCTGATAAATAATTTACCCGAGGATTTTTTTCTGAATTTTATAGTAGATCTATAATTTATTCCCCTTAACATGTGAGGAAAACGTTCACGCGGCCTGCAGGGCAAATGCCAGAAACATTTGCTGAACTTTGAGGCGAAAATAATGAATTAAAAATTCCCAAGAGATAACTGCAAATTAAAAGTACATTTTGTAACTTATGATAAAGCGGGACAGGGGTTTGCAGCAGAAGAGAAACCTAAAAGCGTAACGTGACGGAACCTAACTTACTACAACAATCGCCAAAGAAAAGAAGTATTGCAGCGTCATGGTTCCAAAATCATTATCAGTCCGTAGTTATGCAACGCCTGAGAACTGGCCAAATTTTTACCAGCTCTCCTACCAAGCAACAGGAAAACAGAGCCTGGCCTGGTCTCCGGTCAAAGAGAAGGTGTCGGTGGTTCGGTTCCAGATAGATGCTTATAAAATTTCGACAAAGCATAAAGTAAAGACATTATGCAAAGTCAGATCTCTGTGCACGAGTTCTCTGGTGGGATATTATGTGATCGCAGAGAATAAGCCGAGGAATCATACAATAAAAACACTTACCAGACACTTAAATAAAAAGTTATTCCTGCTAAATTGTGGTTTACTGACTGTGATGCAGGCCCGACTCTACTTCGCATAATTATGTATAATTATGAAAAATTTTAGCGGGATTGTCGCTTGATATTCAGCGGATCGCATCCCTGGCATTCTTTCGTTTAGTTCAAACATTTCGATAAGCTTAATCTTTATCTTAAACAGCAAAATTGCCCCTGTCTTCGAAACTGAAATGCTAAATTGAACTGCGAATGAAGAATCATTGCGGAGAGTCGGTAGGTTTTTCATTTAGAGCCGCATTGTGGTTTCGGCGGCCGGTGATTTTGTTTACGCGAAGTATTCAGGGGCACCCAACCAGGATATAGTTCAAAACCACTTAACATAGCATTGTTGAACGTATTTTAGTATTCAAACGGTAGAGATAGGCATATTTTTATCCCCTAAAAACTTTTCATCTGTTCGGATTTCCTAGCTGAAAGTCTAGTGATCCGAAAATTATAGGGATAAAAACTTACCTTCTCGAAAATTTCAGCCAGGAAAAGGCTCCCGAAAATTCTAGGTGGCCTTTTTTAGGGTCAAAATCCGTTAAAAATGGGTAATTATACCATTTTGTAGATGTCCGAAAATCCTAGGGGAGGCAGGCAAGCAAGAAATTCTACAACAAATGCTCCGAAAATTCTAGATCTCAAATCGTCTTCCGAACAGATATTTTCCCGAAAATTGCCGTTGGGTGCCCCTGAGTATTCTGAGATCAATGTTATAAATTCGACCTTCTTGCTATTTTTACCGTCAAGTGTAATGATTCTGTTAGCTTTTCTTTCTTGTCTCCTTGTTTTTTTTTCTCCGTTAAGGACCAAATAGCTTCTTTTCAATTAAAGCAAATCATTGTGTTTTTGAACTAACTGTTCCGT